GCCTATGATGTCTGTGTGGGATGTGGATGTGTTCGTTTGCACCAGATCTATGCAGGTGAGGGCTTGATCAATGAGTCTTATAAACCTATGTAATTTGTCTGCCATGCGTATTTCAGAAGGCAGACTGTTCCATATCAATGCGTACTTGATAAGGAAGAAGTTTTCACGTGTTTTTGATCTGTGTTTTTCAATTTTGACAGTGGATACTTTGTTTCGAAGGTTGTATCCATGTGAGTCTTGGTAGAGAGCTATATTACATGTGGAATAAGTAAGGTTTTTAAGGAGTTTGAAATAAAGAATTAAGTTAGACCTAAGCCTTCTTTTCCAGAGGGGTTCTAGTCCTAAGATATAGCATCTGGCTTTGTAGTTAGTGAGTTGGTCGTTCCTAAGTATTTTGCGAGTGAAGTCTCGTTGTATTCCTTCCACCTTAAGTATATCAGACAGGCGTAGGTTGGAAAATAAGAACGAGCAGTATTCGACGATGGGTCTTACGCAAGTTTTATACAGGATGATTTTAGTTTCCTTTTGAAAGAAATTACGAAGGATGAAGCCAAGCAATCTCCGCGTTTGAGATGCTTTAGTTGAAATATGTTCAGAGAAGTTAAGACTGTCAGAGTAATGTACCCCAAGGTCAGTTACTGATGTCAGTCTGAGCAGTGGGTTTTTGTTAAGTGCTAGTTTTAGTTTAAGTGACGTGTTTCCAATACATAGCCAACCGCATTTCTCGGTGTTGAGCTCTAGCCCCCAGCGTTTGCACCAGTCGTCTACTTTGTTGAGTTCATGTTGGATCGTTTGCATAGTACTTCGTACATCACCAATGTCAGTTTTATAGATGACTTTTAAGTCATCAGCGTAGAGGTAGGTCTTACCTGTGGTAAAGCACTTGCATATATTGTTGATATAAATTATAAAGAGCAATGGACCCAAGACACTACGCTGCACAACACCACTGGTTATTGGTCGAGGTGTAGATGTTGTAGAGTTAATCTTGGTTATTTGGTATCTGTTTGTGAGGAAAGACTTAATCCATTGCAATAGGGGGTTTATAATTCCAACTGACTGGAGTCTGTTAACGTTCCTGTAACAATGATTTTTACCGCATGACCTTATAAGCATCAATTACGCTAACGTGAATGATTTACGTCGGACGACGAATACTTGGCAAAAATGGTAAATGTCAATAAAAACCAACGCGGTATCATTATCAAAACTGTATGATTCGGCTATTCAGGAGAAGCCAACCCCAAATGCATCCACTTTGCCTTCTAATTGAACATACTTTTCTCTCGGTAAGATCGTATATACAAGTTAAAAGTCATTACAAAGTGGGAGCCAGGGATGCGATCGTGTAGGTCATGATAGTCAACGACATTACTTGAACGTAAGATCACTTAGATCAAACGAGAAAAATGGCAAGTGCGCAATATTAGGTTACATCCACTTAGCTGATAGCATGAATAAGTGCATCACTACTGACCTTAAACTTAAATCAAGCCAAGGTGCCTGAGTTTTCAAAGATATAATTTATCGCATTTACTTTTCTGTGCACCAGTTAATAATTTATGATCCACGTTAACTATGAATCATTTGGCTTATATCATGCTTCAGAAGTGTTTAGAATCTACGAAACATGTGGAAGGTTCTCGTCTGAACGTAGAGTATCTAGGCTCTGCAGGAACTAACCTTCATCAGAAGAACCCAACTCGTTCTCATGCCTTTTAAAGGGGTTGGGTTGGAACACTCCTTACTGCTTTGTTCAAGGTGTCTAAAATATTTTGGATTCGCATAAGTTATTGTAGATGCCTAGGGGGTTTATTCCTAAACTCTTTAATAGCCTAAATAGGCTTAAAATTCAGTTTCAAACCCTTGGCTTTTTCCCTGAATGAATCTGTCAGCGGCTAAATTTTCTGTTTAAAGCCGGGTACAAGTCGGTGACAGAGGTTAATTAAGCCTAGAAAACCTTTGAGTCGTTTAAACGAATTTAATACAGAGTGGTGTCCACCTTTTTAGTTGCTATCTTACCTTGTAGGACCTATTGTGTCCAAAAATTCTTACTTTTAGCTCGGGTGTGCATATACTTTGTTTTCATCCAGTTGCATTAATAAAGCTCTCACGTGTTTTTCATATGGTTCTAAATCAGGACTGGCTGTCAACAGGTCATCGATGTATACCTAAGCGAAAAACAAGTGTTCTTAAACCTGTGGAGTGCTCGTGTCGCTTTCCGCAGACAAAAATTTGTCTCCACATTGTATCACCCAAGGTGTATTTACGTGTCAAATGACGTTTTCCAAAAAAACTTTAAGGAGACGCTGTCCTACTTGCAAACGATCGAATAATATTGATGTTAATAAAATATGCGTTATGGTTATTTCGTATAGATTCTTTCTACTTAACATGGTGATAGCAATATAGATATGAAAAGCTAGTTACTTTCTTGTAACCTTGATTGCTTCTGTGTTAGCGTATGCGTGTGCTCCATTCACCGTATTGTCTCTAACTTATTTTTCCCTCTTGCTATAAACGTGAGTCACGCTTGGCACGCTTACCTTCTCCACTTCGCTTCGCATCTGTCAATTTTTGTTAGACTAAAGGAATTTCTGAAATATTTGTGGACGTCATAAATTAACCGATCTGTCCGAAAGCGAGAGTATCCCAAATTGGCGTGATATACTGCTAGACGCTACAAAACCTATAACAAGCATTGACCAATATAAGTTTACAACAATAAACGCAAATGGGGAATCAGCTCTCAAACCTTAAACCTTATATTAAAGCGTAAAATTTAGGCGTGATGTATCGTAAGCGATCCAGAAGGGGAGTCTCTTAAAAAAAACAGTACATGCTGATGCGAAGAGGTGTAAGGGTTTTTATCATGGTTGTATAGCCAGTAAGCCTCACCTTTCTTATTTCAACCAGGCTACAAATGCTGTAGAAGTTCGGAATTCGCAACGAACATCAAAGAACTACCACGGGGTGATTGAGCTAGTAATAATAGCTCGTCAGTTGAATCTCTTATAACGTTAACAAAAACAACAGATCCTTCATATGGTTCAAATGGTTGAGGACGGAATAGAAGAAGCTTTCTCTTAACGGGCTTCCGTGTATAGCAGCAGTGGATCACCAACACCTCTATGCAAAAACCTAGGTATGTTAACGATAACAGAGGAAAAAAGAATTTGGTAAATCAAAATGGCATGTTATCCTTAGACCTTGAGAATAAGTCAAGTTTCCTCTTAAAGGACTCCTAGGAAGTCGCTTGGACTAGCTCAGTCGGCAGCGAATTCCAGCATCTGACAACTCTTACGGAGCACGAGTTGTGTGTGCAGTCTAGTCTGCTATGTTGGGTCTCCAGTTTCTGGGCGTTACCTCTTAGGTTAGTGTTGTGACTAAGCTTAAGAAGATGGTTAAGGGGATGACCAGAAGTGTTAAGGATACTGTAAGTCATAAGAAGGTTACCTCTAAGACGCCTGTACTCTAACGGGTAAAGGTTAAGTGGTTGGAGGCGCTCTTCATAAGGTTTGAATTTGAGTCCCCGAACTGATTTCGTGGCTCGACATTGGATACGTTCCAGAGTGTCCTTATCCTTTTGGAGGTATGGAGGAAATACTATGTTTCCGTACTCTAAATGGGGACGAATAAAACTGTTAAAGATTATATGGAAGGTTCTACCATCAAACTGGCCAAAAATGCGCTTCAATGTTACCAGTGCAAGGTTCGCTTGAAAGGCGTTTTTGTCACAGTTCGCATACGACGTCAGGTCGTAGGGTACCAACACTCCTAAATCTTTTTTCGACTTGGGAAACTTCTAGAGAGGAGTTACCTAAGTTGTAACTATAGTCTGCAACATGTCACAGACGGACTACTCTGCACTTTGAAGTGTTGAAGGTAAGTCCGTTATCGTCTGCCCAACTTTGAAGTTGAGTCGGATCCTCCTGAAGTACAAGTATATCCTTATGGTTACTTACCTCTCTCCAAAGTTTCACATCATCAGCAAAAAGCAATAAGTCAGATGAAACTTGTTGAGGAAGATCGTTAATGTAAATCAAGAGGAGAAGAGGTCCTAGTATTGAGCCCTGGGAGACCCCACTAGGACATTCCATAGCCTGAGAGAGAGTGAAGTTAACCCTGACCCTAAAATGTCGATTTTCTGAATATGAAGTGAGCCAGTCAATCAAAGGGGGGTTGATACCCTGTCATTTTAAAAAGTAAAATGAATGTTGTGAAGCAAAATGATGCTCGATAACGCATTTAAAGGTAATTTCTTATCCGGGATAGATATCCAAAAAACAAATTTTTTAGTTGAGTTAATGTTTGTTTTAATGTACTTTATAGCTGTCACATTTGTGTAAACTATGTCGTGCATATTTAATCGAACTTCCAGTGACAGGTATCTGAAAGTCTATTATATTTTGTGGTGAAAACTTTATAATCATGATTCGCCATACGTTTTTACCACAAACGTCTGAGATGCTTGCTTTCATTCATTATATGTGAATGGTGCCAGTAACCCGGCTGAAGAATGGAAAAAGTATACCCACGGGTATACAAAATGGATCAATTTTGCAAAATTGATCCATTTTTTCACAACTTTGGGAGCATGCGTATCTCTATGGAGATTCAATTTTTATAAGTCGTCACAGCTAATACAACCAATAAATACTGTAATACTTCCACAAACTTGATTTCTCGCATGTGTTGAGACAATAAAACTTCCCTCTTTAAAACCTCTGTGTGACCGCAAATACTTTGAGGACATCCCCATGCCCAATATATTCAAAAGGAGTTGAGAACTTAGTGTACGGAATCGGCGACAGGATTTGGAGTCAGGTTCAAATATTAGGAATTAAAGTAAGGTTTTTCATCTCAAAATGAAGTTAGTTATGATCTTTAACTATATGGGTGAGTAAATTTCAAGGCAGTGTTCAAAACTGACTGTCTTAACTTACATCATTTTTTTCATCAATCGTAATCTCGCCGATTCTAAGGGATACGAAAGACGCAATTATATATATATATATATATATGCGATCACTGTAACTCGTAGTGACAGTACAGTTTCTCAAAGGAATTGAATGATGAGTTTGGTCTCGTCTCTACGAATCGGTTGCTTAATCCACTGACCAGGTATTAAGGAAAGAATTAGTTTGAGTTCGACAACTAATAAATAAAGTTGTGCAACTTTATTTAACGGTTTATACTGATCATAATATTCCAGATGCACTTGTTCTCCATCATTCTATAAACCTGATCTTATTGTATATCCTTCCTCGTCCGACTATGAGTTTTGTCACATTTTTGTATATTTCTATACCCCTGTTGCTATAACCATTTTTGCTTTGAGACACTGGGCTATTTTAACTGATACAATGTCATGTGGAGTTTATGGTGGAACTTATTTCTCTGTTTTGATTTATAGTTAATTTTATATTAGAAACGAACAGTTTATTACTTCCATGGTGATTAGAAAACATAAAGTTATCTTAATCATTATGTGGTAGAATGTTGTCGACAAATCTTAGCCCCTCTACATCAACTCAATATTATGATTTTAAGATTAGTTTCTTATGTTTCTTATCATCCTCTGTTTTAGACATTAATGTGTCAAATTTTTTGACAAGTGAAAATGTTATTTAAGATAAAAATAACACTTAACTGCCACATATCTGTTTTGTTTTATGCCTGTTTAAGCATGTATACGCTTGTTTAAACTTGTTTTATGAGTTCGTTGTATGAATGCAAAACTGCTTAGCTAGATAAAATAAAGCTGCAACAACCTATGCATTTGTCAGGCTATGCCATCGAAGTATACGACAGAATAAATATTTTTCATCTGTTTTGTTTGCTTCAAATAAAACTTAAATAAATTTTGGTTTTCTGGGAGCCTGGAAATTTCACAAACTAAGGGATGATAACAAAAAAACTTCACACTGTAAGATCATTTCCATTGGATGAAAATTAATATCCATTTTCTTAGAGTACATCTTTACGAAATGATAGCAAGGATCGTGGGTAATAATTTTTAAAATTTACCAGTAACTATATTAAGTTGTAGATTTTCACGTTCAAACGCTCAATGCACCATTCAAGAAGAATGTGAGCGTGTTTCATTGACTCGAACGACTAGTGTTAGGTCCACGGTAGAGTTTCCTCCAAATATAGACGAGAAAGATTTAGAAATATTGGGAGAAATTGGAAGTGGATCATATGGTAGAGCTATAAAAGTAAGTTGGGCTTTCGATTATTAACTGATTTCTATTACTAAGAAGATAAATTGTGATTCTTGAAAGTAACAGATCCCCATTAATCATTTTTGATGTCTTGAAACGGCATTTTCCTATAGTATTATTATTATTATTATTATTATGACAACCATGTTTTCAATTATTGTTGATCAAACACATTGAGTGCTAGTACATGAAAATGTCAGTGTGAGATGTCAAACGAAGAATATTTTCACGCTTATGTAGAATCTAAAGAGAAATAGTATACAATAATGTAAAAGTTTACTTACGACTTCAAAACACTATACGTTAAGTTCCCACGGAGAGACATTATATTACCTTGCTAGATTAAACTTATTTGGTGACGATTTCCCTGTTAGCAGCCAAGGGATTTTATCTATAACTAAGTTGATTATGGGTTGGAATACCATCTGTTTTGAAGATGGCACTAAGTATTATCATTTACTCTCACATGATGATTTACCACAGACTGACATACAGTTACATAGTCAAAAACGTTGTAAGAATTAAAAAAGTGAAAGATTGTGGTCATAAGAAGGCCTTAAACTGCTGTGAATTTTTAAGATGAATTCGTATACATACATATTATCAGTCATTCAGCTTAGTCGTTTGAGTTTGTTCGTTAAATATGCTCTTATCATGTCTTTCTGGTTGCCAAACTTTAGAATAAAGCTTTGAGGAAGCGACATCGACACCATTTTATTGCATCTTAAAACAATACAACAGAGACATTGATTTAGATAGTCTTTGTTTTATTTAACCTATTTTAAATATTCATAAAACATCGCATTTAATAAGTTTTCGTTATTTATGCTAACAATGTAACTTGTTGCGCTCTTAGAGAGGATTATTAGTGAAACAATTCAATTTCCATTATTTTGTGCTTGTTTTAGAAATCCATCTTGCAGGATTTCCCTACGTAAGATGAAAACTCGTTTCTTTATACATGTGTGTTAACCATGTTAAATTCTTTCCACCTCGTTTCATTTCAGGTAAAACACCGACAATCTAATTGTTTGTTGGTTCTTAAAGAGGTTATTGAACAAAATAAAGAAATCGAAGCAACTATTGTACGTGAGGTAAGGAACAAACCTATATTTTTTGAAAGTATACGAAGGGATATAATCTGTGAAATGTAAAACGTTTGTTAGTTTATGAGTGCTTTAAATTATTTATTTACATTATTTGTTTAGTTTTCAGCAGTCTCTTAGTTTATCATACCATTTTTCATTTGAGCTTGTGTTTGGATTATTAACGTAGTGTTTTACATAAATGTATTTATATTTTGAAGATGATTCCCAGTGGGGACTGATATCATTTGAAGAGTAATTGAGACTCGCAGATCACTAGACAAATGTTTCATCCCATTGCGTGACTTCTCAGTAATGTAAACTCACGACCCTACACAGAAATGAATCCTACACAATATTTCCAAATCATTGAGTAGAAATGGAGTGGTCTATAATTTAGACTGTAGCGTTATGCTTATCTTCTATCATCGGTAAGGTACTGTCCTACTTTCAACTTAATTTACTCATCAGATCACGGCATCCAAATAGAACTTCAGAAAAACCATCCTAATACTATTTAGTAACTATATAATTATCATTGAGTAAGTTGGCTTCAAGGAGTCTTTATAACATCAGGGTGACACTTAGCACAAACTTACTTCATTATGTTTTATATATTCTTGTTAACTGCTCAGTTGCTATGCACCCGATTTACAGTCAACATCAGATTTATTATGTAAGCCTTTATGTCCTGGCACTTTATGCGGTTCTGGTTGTTTAGAATTCAGACCTGTTTTGTAAATTTTGGATCTTTATTCTGTGAGTGAGTTACACAAACGAAGTTCCTACTTGTAACACCGGAAACACGCAACCCAAAAGTAGAGCTCGTGAACAGCAAACTCGTGTAAACCGAATAGACTTTAAATATGGATCATCATTATCATTAGCTTTATTCAATATTATATTTTTGGTACAATATAGAATTCTCAGCACAATGTATTTCAACAAATTCTGGTTTATTACTTCTTGGTCGATGCTGTCGACAAATATTGAGTGATCCCCAGTTAGAAGTTAATAGTCCTGTCAATCGACATCTAAATAATGTACATTCTTTTCGCTGCATATTGCCTCCCAGCAACCACGATATTTTTGATTGGGCCTTTGTAAATTGTACAAACGAACCTGAATAGGTTATGCGATAATGTATTAAAACAAACAAGGAAAGATATAACTTGTTGAAATATCTAGATGCCAGGAACAGGCAGCCCAGATGTTCAAGCAGGCCGCTCTTATTCTAGTGATTGAAGTGTCGATCAAATATTCACTGTTTGTCAGGTTTCAGAACCAAGACATACCTGCTGATCTCCGACAGTAGTAGTGTTACCTGAACTGAAGTTAACATTCGAATTCGTTTACCGATAGGCTTTATAACAGTGTTTATCATTGGAAGGTCTACTAAAGAAGTACATAAGCCTTGTGTAGACTTACGGCGAACTATTTTCACAACTGTCAGCCTCAAGCACTCTTTGTCAGATATGCTCATCATCACCGTTTTTATTCAGCCTCGCTGTATACATAGATGTGGGTTCTTAATCTGACATTTCAGAGAGTGACATATGTTCAGATGATTTCAGTCAGTCAGCTACAACGTAGGACCAGGCACATATATGCATCGGTCCAAATTACCATACCTCATTAGTACAACAAGATGAACACCGAAATGGTAGTAGTTGCTTCAATCGTAGTAATATATAAAATAAAGATTGTGTATAAGGATACAATACAGGAAGAAAGAATTAGTTCGTAGAAAGAAAGGTATAAAGTAGTTTTAATCTCACGGTTTAAGGGCAGATAAAGATTGTATATACCTACGCCATTGTGACTGATTCTTAGCCATGTCACCTTGAGTCTCCAACCATTGGTTACGATAGTCATGCGGACTCTAGACAAGTAGTAGTATTCTACCAACATGACTCAGACTAGAAGTTAGTGACTTCAAGCTCTGGTGGCACGTTTTGGTTCGGCTGCCCCTAACTAAAAGTGTGATTATTACCTGGTTCATTTAGTGACGGCGCTTATCAGAAGCAGTCCCTTAATCGCCCTTAGCTACAGTCCAAGCACATTTAGAGTTTCTCAGTCGCTAAATTATAAGTTTCTCCTCAAGACTACTCCGTCTCAACGCCTAAATTCGGGTTGTCTGACTGAGTGAATCACTTAAATTATTTTAGATTTTTCATCAGCCCCATTTGGTTGGATCTGATATAAATTCGACACATGTTAATAAAGCTCGGTTGACTTTACTAAATTGTGTTACCTGTGCTGTAGGGAAAATTTCTGCCAACAAAAGAACCAGTATCTTATGCAACAATCCACCATTTTTTTCTATATGCTTGTGAAACATTACCTTAAGAAGTAGAGAGCATGGGCTGGTTACTAGTATCAGATCATAGATATCTTTAGAGCAATACTCACATGTGTTGGGACCATAGAGTGAGCTATATTTAGTTTAGACAGATGGTACTAGACGAAACTGATTAATCTATTGGTGAGTTTAAGGGACCTTCACCAAATAAGGTAGTTGGGACCCACTACACGTCTGCTCAACAACAACCTACCTCAACACTTGATACTGGCTAGAGTAGGAGTAAGGCACATAAATCCCTGGTTGTATATTATTTGCGATTGATTGACTGACTGACTGGTAGTAGAATAAAATATACAAGTCAATTATAGAACAGTGATTGAATGTATCTATCTATATGATAACTTGTTAAATGATTTACAAACGTATGTGACGTTTGAATATTAACAAATTAAACTATTCATACGACGAAAATACACACTCTGGAGCGTTTTTACATGATCTCTGTAACTTCAATTGTTTTCTGATAATAATGTAGATGATATAAAATTGGTTAGACACAGAGTATTAGGGAATGATGGTAAATCAGTTGATGAGGTCATGAATCTTCATAAACTGAGATGGTTAGGCCACGTGTTACGTATGCCTGAACACGGATCACCACGACGCACTATGCTGGCTAGTATTGGGGATGTTCGGAAGAGAGTTAGGGGCGGCCAAACCAAAACGTGGCATCAAAGCATGAAGTCACTAACTTCTAGTCTGACTCATGCTGGTAGATACAGACTACTTGGTTGGGGTCCGCGTGACTACTTAACCAATGGTTGGAGACTCTAGGTGACATGGCTCAGAATTGATCACAATGGCGTAGGTGTATACACTCTTTATCTTCCCTTAAACCTTGAGATTAAATTTGCTTCATAACTTTCTTCCTTCTTATACTATACCCCTATATACAACCTTTCTTTTATATACTACCACCACTAAATTAACTATTTCTATGAATCCGGTGTTCATCTTGTTGTGCTAACGAGTGAGGTATGGCAACTTGGACCGATGCGTAAATGTGCCTGGTCCTACGTTGTAGCTGACTAACTAACTGACTGAGTTATGGAATAGTATATATTGGCTGAAAACGCCTATTTCTTTGATACATGTAGTTTTGTAAGTTTCACAATATTTTCAAGTTAACAGAATCTTCCATATGTAAAATGTTCAATCACATACAATTAGATTATGTAATAATTTATATCTCTATATGTATGCTAATTATTGTTAGAATGAGAATAGAAACTACTAATTAAACTAAAACTCTATAATACACTTTATTCAATCAATCTTAGTGATCTTTACGAGATTTTTTCTTGTTTTGTTTAGGTCAATGTAGTTATTATGCATTTCAATATGAATACATTCCTCGGCAAAGTATCGCACACATATCTATATATCTATATATGAATGTTGACTATGTATTCTGTTCATTTATGTTTTGTAAACTATTCTGACTTCGGTTAGTTTCACATTGATCTTTAACATTAAAATACTACTAACAATAAGTATAATTGATATATAGAAAATTTAAACTCAAATTATAAGATAATCTACATTGGTCAAGGCACATTGTATTATTGTTGGTCATTTCACTGTAAACTATAGCTAGCTGAGATTTGAGTATACTAATTTGTATTTAGTAATTAAGTTTCAATGAAATCAATTACATTTTAATACAATCGGTGAGACTATAATTTATGGATGAGCTAATAAGAGGCGTTTGAAGGATTTCAAGCTCACAGCGCTAATTTTAGTACCTAATGCTAATGTACAATCGGTTCACAGAGACAATTAAGCGGATACAATAAATGGGACTACTAAGAAGTACCTTTATTTGTATTTGAGGTAATCAATTGACTTGTAGACCTTGTGCTGACTGCCCTGATGATGTTCTTTCGATGTAATATATGTTAGAGGAAGAAGTCTGCTAGAATAGGAACTTTTTTCTCTCGATCCAGATTGAAACTAAAGCAAATTATAGTAATTGCTGTGAACTGTATAATAAAAACACCAGTATTAGTGGCTGCAATATTCGCAGATGTTACTGAAGCTTCGGCTGTTCAGAGGTATGAGTGTTTTACGGATATATGCGTAATAAAAATGACAAACATACACTACCGGAGTACATACAAACAATATTGAAGCTATGTGAACGAGGCTGAGAGAGTTTTTGTGACCTTACTATGGCTCCAGAGACCGAGTACTATGGAGCCATATGGATAAGTTCCTCTACCTTATGCATTACAATTTTAGAACCTTTGAACTATTTTCTAACCTTGGCAAGTTTTCGGACCATGTAAAAGAAGTGTATCCACTCTAATTCTTTGGTGTTGTATAATATATTTTTTACTCTATACTAACTGTTACCTGATTGACTAATATTCTTCAGGGTCACTCGAGATTCGTTCTAAGGTCGTCCATAAATTATAGTCTCGCAATACAATCTATATTATGATGTTTTGTTACAAACTGAAACATTACATGATCAAAGATTATTGTCCTTAACAATTCATGAAGTTATATAACTAGATTAGAACCCGTTGAAATGAAAATTATCGCTTTAAACCATTCCATTTTGTTAGATTCATATGCGTCTAAAATAAGTAATGGTAATCTATTTAATGATATAGAAATTGTCACAGCAGTTTGAAATGTACTCTAATAGTTACTCATAGGTCACTGGTTGAAGACTAGAAAAGAAGACTGTGAACAAACGTGAATGTATTATGTTATAATAAAAAAAAATAAAACACATACTTATATACTAAGCGCTTATGGATTTTATGTAAAAAGATAGGACAGTATCATACGGAAATTGTTTTGTTCAATTCAATTCGTGGATGCGCACTACTGAGGAGTCCCACAATAGGACGAAACGACCGTCTAGTGCTTCCAGGTTTTCCATAGTGGTCTAGCTTCAATTGACTCATGATTTCAACTATATAAATTTACTAAAATCTCCACAAAACCCCCTTCAGACAATTCTAAAGTCTTAATATTATCTCATAATTCTTATTCTTTAGTTTCTTTCCTTTTATATTTTCGAAATATTTGTTCTTTATGGATAATTTTTTATTTATCATTAATTTCAACCGTAATATCGACTCTTAACTTTCACATTGGTAATTCCCTTCACTTACAATCTATTGACATGTGAAATTATTTCAATATAAACTTATACATTTTAGTGCCAGGTCTTCCATATTATTATCCAAGATGTTTTAGCCATTTCAAACAACATAATGTCCCTTATTATTTCACTGCCCCAAAATACTCTGGTACGGTCTAGAGTGGGGAGATATCGCTCTCCCTCTCGAAATGCTCTCACATGGCCACGCGTATATAGTCTCTACTAGAGAAGTCCTACGCACTGCTTTCTCTTAGCGAGGTTGTTGTTTACGAAATTGAGAGGACGAAATGCAAATGTCAGGCGCTTTAACCGGGTTGGTGGACACGGAGGGTCCACCTAGGGGAGTTGGAGAACCCTGATTCCAAATCAATGGTGCACATGGAATCAATCGTTGGTCACCGGCTACCATGGGACTGCATCTCCTTACGATGTTCCACTGTCTTGTGGATCAGATCTTGAGGTTAAAGGCTCGGGGTGTGGCCCCCTAAGAAAACCACCTGCTTCAGTTTGGGATTCTGGGCAGTATCATAGCCCTGACACAAATCGAATGAGATTTGTGCGGCGCATATCAATTTGGTGCCCCTTTGTACCAATATTATTTCACTGATTTATCGTATTATCATATTTGTTTACACTTGATTTAAATAATTATCTTATTTATTTCAGGTTTCATTACTTCAAAATTTAAAACATCCAAATATATTAACAATAGTCGGTGTAGTTATTCGAAATAGACAATTTTGTCTTATTACTGAATACATTGAAAAAGGAAGTTTACATTCATTATGCTTGGATAAGATTAGATATTCATTTGATTGGATTAAAATAATAACATTTGGTCGTGATATTGCATCAGGGATGGTAAGTTCAGTTTTATTTTTTTTCTTTTACTCATTAATCAACTTTTGTTACGTGAAAGAATGTTGTCTTTATCGTTATTAAGATTTAATTGTTGAAAGACTATCTTTGGGTCACATTTTTGAGCCTTGCTTTATCGGTCTTAACAACAAGAGATTAACTTTTGTTTCCATAAATAGATGTAAAAAAATTTCCCTTCTGTTTCTATCGTGATAAATCTGTCAAAGACATGAAAGACAAATATGCGATGTTCCGCCTGTGATAAACAATCAGTATTGTTGTAAATTAACGGCCCGCTTTTTATCGCATGATTTATTTGCCAATCGGAATACTCCTTATTCAATCTTAGTACAGTGCCAAACCAATGACTTTCGACCGGTATGAGCAGCCTAGCATCCTTATTGGTCCTCTGTCCGCCTAGCCCATCCACCTCAGTCCGGAACACCAACGACAGCTTCCACTATGCGAATCATTTATTTCAAGCATACTTGGTTTACATAATAGACAAACAGATCATATTGCACTATAAAGTAGGAAATAACATTTAATTACATTAAAGCCAAAATGTGGCTGTGAATGTGGAAGACAGTAATAAATAAGCTGAGTATAATTTAGGAACGGTAAATCGTGTAATAATAATCTATAGATCAAAATGAAGCTTATAATAAGATGAATATGGATATGTACAATCTAATTACTGAATAGTTATACAGTAAAAATATTTGTACAATATTAGTTCATTAATAGATCTCAAACTCCGCTTGCAGCTCCTCCGGGGGCTACTGCCGGTCTCAAGCCCGGGTAAAGGAGGAGGGTTGGGCAGGCGGTTAGCGACCCCATCCCGTAGAAAATTAAATCGCTAAAAAACGCTAAGGACACACATTGAGGAAGTCACCCAACTGCGTCACAAGTCAAGCCCTCACATAGAACTAGAAAGGAAGGCCGAGGACAGAGTGGGTTGGAGAATGCTGGTCGGCGGCCTATGCTCCATTAGGAGTAACATGCATACGTAAAAATAGATCTCAGGAGTTATCCGTACATTAATTTTCACAAGGATATAACAAGTATAATTTTGATAGTTTAAAAGACTTTTCCGAGATCATCATCATAGAGAAGAGAATAGGTTGTAGAACCTTATTTTATTACAAGTGAACATTTTGTAATATACCATGTTTCTGAATCATGAAAATATGTAATGGTATAACTGTTTACATTAATTGTGAATTAACATGATTTGTATTTTTTAAAAATTTTATTGATGCAACTTTTAGGCTTATTTACATAAACATGATGTTATACATCGGGATTTAACTACGAATAATTGTCTAGTACGACAAGTAAGCTATTTGATGAACATTATTTATAAACATCATTCATTACGTTAACGATTTGAAACATTATTATTATTATTTTAGTATTGTTTATTTGAATCTTCCCATTAATGTTTTAGGATTGCAACTGGTCAGTCTCTAATTGGCATATATGCATACTGTGCGTATTGCCTCGATATAGCCTTAATTCACAAGCATAGTGACTGACTTCAATGGATGTTTCCTTGAGTTCTAGTGGGAAGCAGTGACCAGTGGAGTTCAACCAAGTCTGTTGTAGAGATATCAACTCACTGAAGACAATTGATGAACGGTTGCTCAAACATTGTGGATTAGTTGAAGTTAGACATTAACACCGTTGGATGCCGGCTCAGTGGTCTGTCGGTTAAGTACTCTGGCGCCAGACTGGTAGTTCCTGGGTTCGAATCTCGCGAGGCGGGATCGTGGATGCGCACTGCTGAGGAGCCCCATAATAGGGCGAAACGGATGTCCAGTGCTTCCAGGTTTTCCATGGTGGTCTAGCTTCAATCGACTCATGATCTCAACTATGAAATTACTGGAATCTCCACAAAACCCCTTTTGATCAATATTAAGTGAATTTAAACTTCACCCCATTACATAAGCAAGGGGCTATCAGGACTCAGTGGCCGAGTGGATAATGCCATGGCGTTTGAAGCGAAAGGTACTGGGTTCGATTATCAGAGTGAACATCAACTCTGAGATGCAGGTACATCCAGCTGACGAGTCCCGAATAGGACGAAGTGGTGCGCGTCCTGGATTCCACTGCTACCCACTATCCATCTTTGCTTACAATTATTATTATTGTTCAAATTTATTTCCCTAAAAGAAAAAAACATTTCTTTCTATAAAAAGAAAGTAATTGGAACCAAATAGGATTGAACTAGATAACGTCACACTGTGTTAATCGAATCAAATGAGTGTGAATTAGAAAAAATTTGATTTTTCAAACTATTAAGAATATACGTCAGTTTTGGGATCATAATGAAATGAATGGCTCGTGAACCCTGATTTGTACTATATTCTTTGGTGCTGTTACAGAACTATTAGATCAAATTGTATAGTCAGTAAAAATAATAACTTTGTTTTGACTTTAAATGGCTGGAATTAGTCGACAGGGGACTATGAACTTGGATTTCGTGCCATCTGGCGCTTATAAAAAACCCGTACCTGTAGTTTCTAGGTAGCTAACATTGCTTATGGAGTTCGAGACTGCGTCAACCAGCAGAATAGTTTAAAAACAGTATCATTGAACTATTTGAGTGATGACTGACCTCCTGTTGAAATAAGATATTTGTAATAACTAATCACTGAATAGTGAAGGTGATTCATTAATGTATTAGCGTCGTTTTGGGCGTCCGTACAGCTTCAAAACTTTCATATAAATCATGAATATTACAATAGAGAAAATGTATGGGCCGTTATCTTCACAAGTTAACTTTCACAAAATTTTGAGTCTTTGATAATTGTTTAAACTCAATTACTTTATACCATCTGAAATCTCTGCTTTTTATATTTCTATATGATCTACACTGCGTAACTAATTTTTAATCTTCAAGCCATGTAGTCGATTGCTTTTGTTAAAGTTTTTGTCCTTTACCTTATAAAAGGCATTTTAAAACTGGCGTGCACCATTTAGACATACCATTTTGATGCCGTAAAGAAGAGCACAGTAAATTTTAATGAGATCTTCCAGAATGAGAAATGGAAGTCACTAAAACCGATGAACCGTATAACATTTTACATTTATAGCCACTGTGTAATCAGAAGTCACTTGGATTACTACTTGTTACTTCCTTAGAATATCAGTATTGCGATCCAGGACATTTTTCTCGTTCTATATAGGACCCATCATTTAGATATATCTCCATCTCATTGTTTGATGTTCTTCAAAATGGGACTCGAACCCAGTACTTTCTACTCCAAACCTCAACGAGTTATCTGCTCACAGCTACTCAATTCAGTGAGCTACCAACTTGTCCAGCAGGTATGCTGTCTTTTGTTGTGTCATCTACTTAAAGTCTGCCTAAAGGTGGTACTGAAAATTTTATTTATCATCATATCATTCATTCGATATTTTTCTGACTATTTAGTCTCATGGATCGATTGTTTTTCCCAACTAACTTGAGATTTGAAAAGAATTACAGTAGTTTTCTAGACAGTTTTTTCTTATTTTCTTTTCATTAGGATGACTCTGTAGTTGTATCTGACTTTGGATTGTCAAAATTAGTTCAGTCAATTCCATCTTGTAAACACACAACAACAACAACAAATGACTCTGTATCAATAATTCAAGATTCTTCTTCTGATACTTCAAATAACACTGATGTTCACTGTAATCATACCCATCGTCTTAGACGTCATCATGCATACAATCATCCAAGAAGACATACTGTTGTAAGTGAAATGATTGTTAAGCATTTAAAGGTCGGTATCTATTGGTTTCAAATAATTTCACTCAATCAAATGGAATAATTTCAACTACCTTAGTGTATTCCTTTTGATGTGTGTTTGGTACAATAAACTGTTTTTTATTCCTTAGTATATGTACTCAGTGACTGGATAAGAGAGCTGATACTGTAATTACTATGGTCCCTTAAACGTAAGCCCATTGAATAAAATACACATGAATGTCAAATACATAGAGTGCATAGTCAAAGCAGTTTTAAAGCTTAAACCATTAGTATCCTATATCATGTACAATTTGGAAAACAAAAACTAAGGTTTACACTTACTTACGCCTGTTACTCCCAATGGAGCATAGGCCGCCGACTAACATTCTCCAACCCACTCTGTCCTCGGCTTTCTTTTCTAATTCTATCCATTATTTGTTCATTCTTCTCATGTCTGTCTCTATTTCTCGGCATAATGTGTTCTTCGGTCTTCCTCTTCTCCTTTGACCTTCAGGATTCCATGTGAGGGCTTGTCTTGTGACACAATTGGGTGATTTCCTCAAAGTGTGCCCAATCCACTTCCAGCGATTCTTCCTGATTTCTTCCTCCACTGGAATCTGGTTTGTTCTCACCCACAGTATGTTGTTGCTGATAGTGTCTGGCCATCGGATCCGAAGTATCTTGCGTAGACAACTGTTAATAAACACCTGTATCTTCTGGATGATGGCTTTCGTAGTTTTCCACGTCTCTGACCCATACAGTAGAACTGTCTTGACATTTGTATTGAAAATTCTGACCTTGGTGTTGAATGACAATTATTTTGAGTTGCAGATGTTCTTCGGTTGTAAATATGCTGCTAATGCTTTGCCCATGCATGTCTTCACATCTGCATTTGATCCACCGTGTTCATCAATGATGCTGCCCAGATATGTAAAGGTTTCCACATCCTCCAAAGCTTCTCCGTCAAGTGTAATTCGATTGAAGTTTTACACATTACAGACAAAATGATAATCACTGATGATAGATGAAAATTTTATATCATCTTTTAAATCACACAGCAATCAAACACACTCGTTTATACATAATAAACTGTACTGGTAAACAATGATTAGTCAATAATGAATATCCATACACAATTGAAGATAATGGAGATACATTTTCTTTTTTTAAAATGGATTTTACTCTGACTTAAAAACAAAATGAATTCTGGACACTATACTGAATAAATATCACACTAAATTTAATATAAAACTATCTTATATTGAAATAAAGCAAATATGGCGAGACGATAATGTTGGGACAAGCCAATCAGATTTGAGATAGCACGTCTTGGACATTGATTTGAAATTCATTCACCAATATGAGGAAATGGGGTCGGGGACAAACTCCATGTTGTCAATTCATCTGAGTGTGTCGTGGTCAGTAATTGCAGTTATGTTTTCGTTTAGTTAGTCACTCATTTGTATATATTCTGGGGTAATTTATACCATAGAATTAATTAGAGGTATGATTTTTGCCATGTTGTAATTTTTCTTCCATCATGATTCGACTGCACTACATTTGATAGGTCCGTAGCACTATAGAGTGGTATTTTCGTCGTAGAAAACTTTACATTTTTCATGTAAGCGACCAAAAAACGACAGAATATGAAACATACCCTCCATCTTGGTTTACGATAGTGCAAATAATGATTGAGTGGTTGCCAGGTGCAAGGTCGAAATTATGAACAAGAGTGGGGTCTATCCTAACGTTTTGGCACTATGTCTGATGTCATTTCGTGATGACATCTCTAACTCTAATTCCTAACTTTAAATCCTGATCGTAATTTCTCACATTAATTTATAGCCCTCTTCCGACCTTAGTAGGCAGATGGATTTCCTCGAGGTCACTTCCAGGGTCGTCCATTAATCACCCTCGTTGCATATATACTAGACAAAAATATATCATTTAAATATCATACTGGATTAAAATGTGATCTCGAATTTTATACCATTCTAACAATAACTTCATGGCACAGTATGTTTCTAGTCAACAGGACATAGCCATTGAGACATAAAATAAGAATGATTGGTTCAGTGGAGAGTCCTCTTATCGGTAAACTCATTTACAGAGCTGTACAATCACAAATATATATACTTCTTTTTCAACATGATGATAATTACAATAATAGTGATAATAAAAGTCTGTTGAACATGGTAACAGTGAGGTAGAATAAACAATGGCATCAAAACATTATTACCAATCGGTAGTGTAAAACCTGGCAGTAAAAGGCTAAAAAGATCGAGTTGAAGAGAATAGAAATGGAAGTGAAAAGGAATTATGAACTAGAAGAATTATGCAGAATGTGAAGTGCAATTCATGGAAAATTGCAAATGAAGTATTCAGTGTATGGTTGTTATATTTAAACACGATACTCTGATCTTAATTAAATGTAAAATGTCTGAGGTTAACAGCAGAGTACTAGGTAAAGATAGTAAACCAATTGATATGGTAGTCAACATTCATCGATTAAAGTGATAACGATATGTATTACGTATTCCCAACCACTGTCTACCTTAATGAACAATGTCATAGAAGTAGTTTGAAGAAGGCTAGAGGCAAGCAAACCAACATATAACATCAGTTCATAAAGTTATTGACTGTTGAACTGAGTTGTTTAAATAAGTATAGGTTCTATTGTTAGAATCCGTGCAACTATCGTAACCGTTAATTATATACTTTGAGTGACATAAGCCAAAATCGGTCTTAAAATATTCACAATTTTTATTGTTCAATTCTATTCTTTTCGAATCATATTGCACATGCCGGAAAATTTTCTGCTACTGTTATTTCTATTAGTTTGATGCGTATTTTTCGATAATTTAATCTTCCTGTGTTGATAAGGTATGGTAATTTAAACCAATGCATATATCAGAAGAGGTTTTTGTGGATATTTCAATATTTTCATAGTTGAAATCATGAATAAATTGAAGCTAGACCACAATGGAAAACCTGGAAGCACCGGACGGCCGTTTCGTCCTATTATGCATATATGTTCCATCCTGTATAACTAATTGAAATAATAAAGTTCTTGTATTTTAGATTTCCTTTTCTATATATAAATCTTTTGTTTCCCTTTTTCTCACAATCAATTATTAAAAAGGTTGGTAGTCCTTATTGGATGGCTCCAGAAATGATAGCGGATCAACCATATGATAATTCAGTAGATGTATATTCATTTGGTACAATTATGTGTCAATTAATTCTACGTTCAAATGCTGATCCAGATAGTTTAATACGTGATGTAAAAACTTTGTGTATAGATATGAATGAATTAATGAAATTAGAAAAATTTCCCATCAATACACCACCTATATTATTAAATATGACAAGTCAATGCGTTTCATTGGATCCAAGAAATAGGTAGGAAGTTTGCTTCAAATTTATTCAGAATTTCATTTATATATTCCTTGTGTAAATTAAATGAAAACAATAAGTTATGTAGATCAAGTTGGCATCAAGAAAAACAGTCATCTAAGATACACAAACGACGCAAATGATTTCTCATACAAATGTAGCATATATAACTTACTTGCCAAGTTTAAGTTAGTTTTCTTGACCTTAAGCCACATCAGTTGATGTGAAGCTTAGCCACACGATCATCTATCTGGTGACTTTGAAGTAATTGGCTGATGTATATTGACTAGCCATATGTCAAGCCCACATAAAATATTCTCATTCCTGTAGTGATCAATTGACTCATTTTTCTCAAACTTATCAGCCTTGACTGTTTTTACGTGAGCGCATATTTTTGTGTGACTATAAATATCGATTAACGCTTGGTCACATCAAATTGGCTTATTCGCCTTCATCTCTGCGTATCATTTTGTTTTGCTTCGCTTTCCGATCAATGATTTTACAAAATATACGTATTCAAAAATCCATTCTCATATTTGACTTATTTAATTCCGTTATTCACCAACGCCATTTAAGACGATGATTATGCATGAGGATTGGCGACATGTGCATTTCGATAACAATCAAAAACGATCTATCTGGAATCAAATACCGGGCCACTAAACATGTTTTGAATCTGAAACCGTTTAGTTGAAAGATTAATGCCTTTACGTCATCGTACACTACCACTTCACTTCCATGTATTTACTAATTGGTAACTTTTGGCGAGACTATAATTTATGGACGAACCAGTCACGTATAAGATAACAGGTCTCTAATTTTGGCGCGAAATTCACTCATGCATTTGGATAAATGAAGTTTTGACATTATAGCTGATGTTAGTTTGTAATGAAAAACCGAGATCCAATTCCTTATCTTAACCATCAACTGTCAATCATAATTTTAATTCCTTACACAGGATTTTAACCCCCCACTCGGTCCTGGTTATTAGGTGCACACTCTACAGGTCAGTCTAGCGTTCCTCAAGGGTCGTCCATCAATTATAATTTTTTGTTTATTAGAGTTCGTAATATACTTCCTCTTAACTAAAAAATGCTTTAATACTTACTCTCTCTATTTTTATGATTGGGAAATCAATGTACTGTCGAGTATCAGCCAGCTTGAGATATAGCTCAGCAGTTATCCTATGGCCACTATTGAATAATTATTTCACAACTGATATAGTTGGATTTTAGCAGTTATAGTATACATATTTTCTTTGGGTTGTCTCCATAGTATATTACTATGGTAAACTTCTTATCAACGCTAAACAGTTCAAACTCTTCTTCAAAAAGAAGTGAATTATTAGAATTTCTTTACAATTGACTTAAAACATTCAAACAATAACCACACAACTAGGGGCACCTACCGAAAAAATTCCGGGTCAATCAAATAAGTTAATAGTGAATTGTGGAGAAATTCTAGTAGCTAACTTTTTTTCTGAATTACATACTGGTGATAATTTAAGCATTAACTGAAGGTATTGAAATGGTGGAGATTTGTAGCTCAGGTGGGTGATTTTGATGTGGGTTTGTTCTCTGATCTGGATGGTTTGGTCGTGGAGCTTTCATCCTCCTTCAGAATGACATCATCAGCACAAACCTCGATAGACTTCTACCCGAAGTTTGTGCTGATGATGTCGTTCTGAAGGAGGATGAAAGCTCCACGACCAAACCATCCAGCTCAGAGAACAAACCCACATCAAAAACTAAAGGTATATTCAACAATATAATGTTCTTAATTAGGTGAATCTTATTTTCGAATGTGGTTCCTTTATCTGTAAAATGAAGCACGACACTAACTGTTAACACGCGATAATAATACAAGGTGGAGTTGGAAAAAATACCTTTTATGTATCAACAATACACTAAGTGAAACATATATGCATAGATGGTGCAGTTCATCAAGCAAGTAGCAGCTGACAATCATTCATTCTCACTTTGTTTATGTAGTTGTAGCATCAATCCATAGTGTTTTTATTTTCGACCCTCTTCACAAGATAAATAATAAAGCACATCAATCAACTGTTAATCTTTCCTCTTTCAATGTGTTTTCTTTGCTGTCACAGGACTATTTTTTCAATTTAGAGCAAAAAACTTGAATACACTAATCCTGATTGGTTTATCTATAAGAGTGACAGTTCATCAAAACATTAGATTCTAAAATACAATAACCAAGCGCGCTTCAAAACAAATGTATGCCCGTTAAATAAGCTAGTAGTTTGGTGGACTCAGTAGCTCAATGAATAATGTGTTGAGATATGAGTTACGAGATACGAGTTCGCATTCGGGTCTCAGTGTGAAAAACACCAACACTGCAATACGGGTACATCTAGCTGACAAGTCGTAAATAAGACAGAACATGAGTCTTCAATTCCGCTGATCTCCACAACCAAATTTTAATTAATACTTCTGAATAAATGGCAGTTCGTCAAGGATGCACATATGTCACAATTCAACTTGACAAAAATAGTTAACTTTTATTATTTATAATGAAAGTAATTTTCTTCTATATTTTCAGACCGTGTTTCGATTCATGTATTGGACTACTGGAACAATGTTTACTATACCTATTGTCTGGCCATCAATCACAACAGGTTATCGTCCGAAATTCTGCTGAAGACATTTCCACAGTTAATGACAACAACGCGGAAACTGTAGATTCTGGTCATCAGAATCTTGATGTTAATAAACATTGATCAATAGTACATATATATCCTTGTATACATATTTGTAATGATCATTTTATGTAATAATGATTTCTTTAGCAAGAAAGATATTTGTAGATATTCTTTTTAATTAAATAACTTGGTTATATTTTCTACTTGATCTTAGCTATAAGTTCCACTAGAATGAAATGCCATATGCGTACCCTACTGTTGTGTGGATTCCCATTATCCGAACATTACATTCCTGTTATTCCATGAAGAAATAGATCTCTATCTTAGTATTAAATTAAGCTTCGTATACTGTTTCTCTGTTACTAATTCACCCCTTATTCTTATCGGTTATGACTTATATTGAATTAGTAAATAAAATGGATTGGTTGGGGTTAGACTTTAACACCGTTGGATGCCGGCCGGCTCAGTGGTCTAGAGCTTAAGCGCTCTGGTGCGAGACTGGTAGGTCCTGGGTTCGAATCTCGCGAGTGCGTGATCGTGGATGCGCGATGCTGAGGAGTCCCATAATAGGACGAAACGGCCGTCCTGTGCTCCCAGGTTTTCCACGGCGGTCTAGCTTCAATTGACTCATGACCCTAACCATTATAAAATGAAATTACAACTCTTCAAGTATTAGAAGATTCAACAAATTAAATGTAATCACTATATTTTTATGCATTAGTTTTTGGAGCCATTTGGTTAAAGACATACGACTGATCATTTTCTTTTGATTTTATTGAGTTCTCTAAGTTTGGTGGTTGGATTGCAAAGTTTTCGTTGTTGTTCTGAAAAACATGTTCAATGTCTTCTTGATGTAAAAGTGCCCCGTTTAATTACTATTCCACAAGCGCTTAATCAACCTGTCCTGACGAATTTGTCTGTGAATCTTAGTCTTTATAACTTCGTTAACTTTGGGTTTGTATTTCTATTTGATCGATCTCTTTTCACATGACTTGCTGTTTTCGTATGGATTGGTAGATTGTCTATATAAATAGTGCTATTGGTTCTAGGTTGTTCTGTGGCAAGATTTCAGAGATTTCCTGTCATTCATTCAATTCCTATGTTTAAGAGTTAGTTTCTGTGCTAAGCTATTCAGATTTGATGTTATCAAGTATTTCATAATCCAAAAATTAATACTAGCTATTACCTTACGAATAGCTATGTAGAGGATGCTTTTATTTTGAAGCTAAATCACTGAGGATTTATATTAAAAACTGCATGTTCTCCTGAAAGTGATATTCAGAACGTGAAGCATCCGATGTACTTTACCACCGGACTGGCGATCTACCATAATTATTTCCACAGACTAAATAGGATCCAAGCGACACAAATCGATTTAGTTGTGAAAACATAGACAAGAATTATTAAGACCATTATCTTCTTGGAATCCAACTTCTTGTTAAGCAATACCCAATCAAACCTCTACCAGCAAGAAAGAGCTGCGAGCAGTTTTTAGATAATAGGAAGCCAGTTTAACTTATATTGACTTTGGCAAGTCATTGGATAATCTCATATTTTCGGCTTTTAATGAAATTGTGAAACCAGAAATTTCCGAAGTCTCTTATTGGTCGTGGAAGTTTCTCCTTGGAATCCGTCATTCAGGTGCATGATACAAGAAACAGTAAAATGTTCACCGCTATTTGTGGTGGTATATCGAGCGAAGGTGATGGATTATTGGTCGCTTTATAACCCTTTATGCCAATCCAACTAAATTACTTAAATATTTTGTAAGATGATAGCTTTAGTTGTTGTATCAAGTCGTGTGAAGACCAGTGTATCGGTCTCCTTTAAGTTTGAATTTATAGATTGATTTCCCGATATAAATTACCAGTCTGACATCCTCAGTCACTTGATTAGTTCTGTCTACCGTTTTTGGTAAATAATGGGTTGGTGAAGTGTTGAATCTGATAGCTAACAATATGAAATGACCGTTGAAAACCAGGAAGCATTGGATAGTTGTCTTGGGATCTTGTGGGACTCCTTGGCAGTGCGTATCTACAACGACACTGGGGATTGAACCTCCAGGTCTCATTATGAGCAATTACACCACGTGAGACAGCGTCTTACGGTTTGGATTTCCAACTTCACTAAATTCACAATATCACATGGCCACCATCCATCATCTTTAGTAGTTATTACTTCTCACTATAGCACCGGGAACCACCTCTTAAAATTAAACACTAGTAATCACAACTATTCAGTGGTTTTTGGTCTTCAGTGACTGTCTAAATTAGAACACTTCGTGATGTAATGACGATGATAGCCACTGAAATAAATCCAAAGACCGAATTAGTAACTCTTCCGAACTACTTTGTCACAGGTCACCGATTCTTCAGATGTCTAGTCAATATTCAGCAACGTTATAATTTTGCCTTGTATTTAATCTAGCCATTCAGCGACCGCTCAGATTTACTTCTAGTTTACCAATGTTACTCAAACTACAGATACCGTATAATTTGTGTTATCGATTTCTCCTACACCACGTATCAGCACATCTTTAATATGTCAATTTTATTCTATATATGCATACAATGATTCGGAACAAATTGACGTAAATTGGCAGAATGGAATATATGCATGTTGTAGCCTTGCACATTCCATTCTACCATAGTTTACGTCAATTTGTTCCGAGTCATTGTTTCTTGAGTGGTTTTTATTTGTAAATTGTAACCATGTGAATCATTCATGTACTATTAGTACTGTATATTTAAAAATATGAATAAAACAGCACGTGTTTATCTTAATAGAGTAGAGAAGGAAAACCATATGACGAACATTTTTCATTGGTGTGATTCTCAATACACAACGACTGTCAATCGATTGTATAGGCTTGACTATAGCTGCTGCCTTGACATGGTAATCGAATTTGCGTATTATGACATCTTAGTCGACCTACATTAGCTAGAACATATGTTTTTCTAGGTTGTACAGCAACAGACAGGTCGGTTGGAGGACGATAACACAAAAATCAGCAACTTAGGGTTGGAAGGTGAGGTCATATTACTCAATTTACAGAGGGGAGTTGGAAAGAGACAACTGTTTTCATATCTCTAACAGCACCCAGGATCACTTCATTTATAATTTACTAAGTGCGTAGAATGTTGAGTCGTAGCTGGGCAGTTTATTACACACTTGACTGTTTGAAATTATGTAGGATTTTTCAGTGAAAGAACTGTTAAAGTCAGTTTGGAAAATCGCATAAATCATTTGTTTAGTTGGAAGCATTTGACGTTAATGCATAGGCCAGTCAATAACATTCTGATGTTGGTAATAAACGAGTCCCAGAGTGAACATCAACTCTGTAGTGCAGGTACATCCAACTGACGAGTTTCAAATAGGACAAAACGAGCATCCTGAATTTCACTGCTAACCACTATCAATCTTTGCTTATAATGCTTGTGAATTAAGGCAATCCGTATAGGATACACATATGCCAGTAAGAATCTGATCAATTCCAGTTCTGATCATCAATAAGAAGATTAAGTAATATTTAAATCAATCAATAATTTATTCACAATCTATTAACACTCATAAATATATATGGATTTTTAACACTCATTGACATACACATACTCTCACTCGTTTCCCCTGTGTGTTTGCCATCTGTATGCTCGTGGATTTGACCAATCTTTAAAAATAAGCCATCTCTATAACTGGTGTTCTGGCTTTTGAATAATCTCGATTAAACCCATAGTTCTACTAAGAGATTTAGCCTGCGTTAAACGGGATATTATTTATTTATTGGAGTTAAATATAGAGGAATTAAATCCTCTGAAAAGTTGGTGAGCCGCATTTGGAACACGCACCATTTCTCTACAAACCTGCTGCATATTCTCTAATCACATGATAAGGAACTTCACATTGCAATTACTGTTACAAATACTAACTATTCATTGACAGACATAATAAATTCATTCATAACACTGTTCCTTTGGAATTATTGCTGTATATTTGCCTATTTAAACCCAAAGTGACGGTTACTTTCCGATGAGTCTCATATATATTTCTTGTTGTCATTCGTTATTTCTTCATAATGTATATTTCAATCCTCAGCTTATTATTACTGCTATTGTTGTTAATTTTTCATATCATGTCACTTGATAATTCACCAAACTTTTTATCTAAGTCTATTTCGGTGGGTACCATCTTCTGTACCTTTACCTGTCTTTAACCCTCTAAAGTCTGAACTCTAGTTTGCAGGCTTAAAAAGCTTTTTTCTTGCAAACAGAATCACAAGTCAGTGCACGATATTTAGATACGCTAACTGGTTGCTGCCGGACGACGTTATTGAACAAGTTCAAATAAAATTACAAAGATTGAACTATTGTATAACTTAATCTAATTATACCAAGATACAAACGATAGGATTTGTCGAAAATGTTGATCATCTAATAAAAACCGTATGTAATTCGTGATCGCCAATATTATTGAGATGAAAAATCGAATTCGTTATTATTTCCTATTTGTGACCTC